CATTTCCAGATCATGTGTTCAAATTGAAGACGATATTGTATGGGTTGAAACAAGGTCCAAGAGGTTGGTATGAGAGGCTAACTGAGTTCCTCATCAACCATGGATACAGAAAATGTGGCATTGAAAAAACCCTCTTTGTCAAAGAGAAGGATGAAAAACTCATGATAGCTCATATCTATGTAGACTATATTGTGTTTGAAGGAATTTCGGATGAGATGGTTCAACATATTATCAAGAAAATACAATCTGAGTTTGAGAGGAGTTTGATGGGTGAATTAAGCTACTTTTTTGGCCTCCAAGTTAAACAGATGGAAGACTCTATATATCTTTGTCAAGGGAAGTATGATAAGAGCATTGTAAAGAAGTTTGGTTTGGAAAATGCTAACCACAAAAGGACTCATGATCCTACACATTTGAAGTTGTCTAAGGATGAAAAGGGTGTTAGTGTTGATCATAGTTTGTATAGGAGCATGATTGGAAGTCTTCTATACCTTACTGCAAGCAAACCTGGCATAACTTTTGTTGTTGGAGTTTGTGCTTAATATCAAGCTGAACCTAAATGCAGTCATATCAATCAAGTCAAAAGAATTCTAAAGTATGTGAATGTTACATGTGACTATGGTTTGATGTACTCTCATAATTCTAATTCCATGTTAGTTGGATATTATGATGCTGATTTGGATGGTAGTGCTGATGATAAGAAGAGCACCTCTGGAGGACGTTTATTTTTAGGAAAAAACTTCATTTCATGGTTCAGTAAGAAGTAGAATTTCATTTCTCTATCTACTGTTGAGGTTGAGTACATAGAAGTAGGTAGTAGTTGTTCTCAAATGATGTGGATGAAGCCAATGCTGACTGAGTATAATGTCAAACAAGATGTCATAACATTATTCTGTGACAACTTGAGTGCCACCAATATTTCAAAGAATCCTATTCAGCACAGTAGAACCAAACATATTGACATCATACATCATTTCATCAAAAATCTTGTGGAAGGAAAAGTTATAATGTTGGAGCATGTTGCCATAGAGAATCGGCTAGCTGACATCTATATTAATGCCTTAGATGCTAATCAATATGAGGTGTTGAGGAGAAAACTTGGGATCTATCTATTTGATGATTTATAGCAGCTAACTTGGTGTGAGAATACTATTCGAGTAAGTGTATATGTGTTCCCAGCAAATAAATAGAGATCTTCAAAGTCAACTCTCATTTGTAGCATAATTCTTCAACATATTCTGATGTTTTATTGAGTCAGATGATGATGACCTTGATGGTGTAGAAGAAGAGGACGAGGATGATGAGGCCACTGAAAATGATATCTGATTGTAGCTTTATTTTTTTTTTGTTTTATAAGGGCTGAATGGCCAGGATATTTTTGGCACTTCATTTGCTAGATTTGTACTTTAATCTCTTGTTTTGCTGGTGTTATTGTTTGATTGTTTAGTTAGTTCTATAACTTTGTCATATTATGGCTAAAAAGGGGGAGTAATACTAACTTAACTAACTGCTAACCTTTGGCTTCTGATTGAGGAGGAGAGCTAACCTTTTGCTGCAGAAGAAGGAGCTGATTAAGGGGGAGGCTGTAGGTTGTAGGCTGTAGGCTATTGTTTTTTTCTGCTGCAGTTCTGGTTTTTTGTTTTTTGTGTGTAAGGGTAAAAAACAAAGGGTAAAAAACTGCCTTGGAGATTGATAAGTCCAAGCTTTGGAGATTGACATTAATTTTGGTAAAACTAACTTGTCAACAAGAAGTTGGACAAGATGTCCTAACATGAAGAAGAAACTGAAGAACATGAAGTTGGACAAGATGTCCTATCATGATGACTCGACATCTTTGTCTGTTACTCTGCAGTTTTGAAAACTGTTGTTTTATTTCCATATTTCAGAATATTTTGGAAACATTTGTGTATCCTAGGTGGTGTTCAAGATTGAGAAATCAGAGATTTTGTTGAAATCTGAATATGTTGTTTTCTAAGTGTAGAGACACTTTAGAAAAATTTGATTTGAAGAAACTATTTTTTTGGAGACTAAGTTGCAGATTCTATGTGGAAAAAATAAGGTGGATTTTAACCTAATCAATGTGTGAAAAATAGACTGATGCTTAGTGAGTTTTAGGATTTACGTATTTGTGAGTCTATCTTGTATCGTGTTGATACTTGAGGTGGATCGTTTGCATTGAGTTGTAATTTTTGTCACTGCTGTGATTAAAAGGGAATTGCAAAGTGTCTCATACCTAGGAGAGTCTTAGTTAGAAATTAAGCATGAGTAATGATAAAGTGATAAGTTGTAAACCAGAGGTTGTTTAGCTTAGAATTAATACTATCTAGTGGATTTCATTCCTGGCATGGTAGCCCCGAAACGTAGGTGTTGTAGTACACTAAACTGGGATGACAATTACTGTGTGTTTGTTTGCTTTCTGAAATTTTTATTGGGCTTCTTCTAGTCATTATTCTTAGCAGAGATCAAGTGTCTCGACATCTCTTTGGACATCTGAAATCTGTATACCAAAATTTCAAACCTTTTAGTGAAGATGATGTCAATGATTTCATTTGGAATTCAGATACTGATGTCAGCCCAAGACCAGACGGATTCGACTTCAGTTTTTACAAATGTTGTTGGGAGATTATTAAAGTTGATGTCCTTAGATTCATCAATAATTTCTATTCGATAGATGTCCTTAGATTTATCAATCATTTCTTCTAGTCCTTTATGCTGTTACAACTTTTCAGGCATGTGATGCGGGTACTTTACCCTTCAAAATTCTTAGAGTGGTTGTGAGATCTAGTTCTAAAAGACTTGAATATTGGAATCCTTTATTATCCAATCTTAGAAAGAGGCTCTCAGTTTGGAAAGGGAAATTCATTTTGTTAGGAGGGAGAATTGTGTTGCACAATAATGTTTTGGAAAATCTTCCTATCTATCAATTCTCTTTTTTAAAAGTTCCCAAGAGCATCGTTAAGGAAATCATCAGAATTCAAAGAGAGTTCATTTAGGAGGGAGTTTAAGGTCAAAGGAAAATGTGTTGGCTTAGTTTTCCAAGAATTTGTAGAAGCAAAGTGAGGGGGGGGGGGGGGGGTCTAGGAGTCAAACATTGCGTAATTTATAATCTGGCATTACTTAGCAAATGGCTATGGAGGATTCTCAAAGGCCCAAAATTCTGTTTGGAATGATTTTATGAGATATAGATATGGGTGCATAAAAGGGAAGATTCTAAATAATTCTCTCCCTCCATGGGTAAGAAAGACTCAATTTGGCGAAAGGACTTACTCAAGGTTTGCTTCAATCATCAACATGAAGGTAATTGGTTTTCTAAGGCTATTGTATGCAAAATTGGTAATGGAAAGGAGTTAGACTTCTATAAATCCACTTGGCTAGGTACAATTCCTTTTTGCAGTTTATTTAAGGAAGCTTTCGACAATTGCGTTAATCCTTCAGCAAAAGTTGAGGAAATGGGAGATTGGACTCAAGGAATTTGGTGCTGCAACTTTGGCAGATTGATGAATCCAAATAATTTGTTGGCTACCAGGAAAATTTTGGAGTTAGTAGATTTAATGAGTTCATTTGGTGAAAGGATAAGCTCTGTTTCAGTATTCTCAGCAGGTACATATTGTTATTTTCTTTCTTGGAATTTGGAATTGAAAGCAACTTGGAGACTGCAGTGTCAAATAATCTTGACAAAATTTGGAAATAAAAAATTCTAAGAAACTTGCAGGTTTTTTGTTGGAGATTGCTTCAATATTGTTTACCAACTTGAAGTCAATTAAATGCTCAGGGAGTGATGTAGATCAACTAGGATTTGAAGTGCATTTTTTGTGATTCTAGTATTGAAGATGATGCCCATCTTTTCTTAAGCTGTAAGGTGGCTATAGATATCATGTCTAAATTGTTTAGATGGACTGGAATTAGAATCGTAGTAGAGAAGAACTTGATCCAAAAGCACTTTGCTCCTTTTTGTGATTATTCCAAATACAAATTTCACGTGAATCTTCTTTGTTTTTTTTTTGGTCTTTTGTTTGTTGAAACATTTGAATTTGTAAGAATAAGGTGATTTTCAAGGTTGGTAGACGGAATGATTGGGAAAACTTATCCAAATCTCGGAAAGAGTTGTGGGAGCGGTCTCAAATTTCTTTTATCGAGGTTCCAAACAGCTTAAGTGACATGATTAGAAGTTGAATATTAGTAATTGTTTTTTATTCTTTTTTCATTGTTGGATGTGTTTTTCTGTTATTATCTTGCTTTTCTTTGTTTTTATCGACTTAATACCGATTTTTCTCTTTTGTATTAAGGGTTGAGTATCGCTTATATTCATTTTAAAATAATTGGTTGCTTATAAAAAAACAAATTTTTGTGTAAATCCATAGATTATACTAGATTATTCATAAATTTGAAAATAAACTGACAGTAACTACAAAAAGTGAGGAACCACTTGGAAAATTTATTCACAAAGATTGGCAATGTTGATCGTCTAATGAAACGTTATGCTATTGAAGTATTCAAATATCTAAATTACAAAACAAGTTATTATCAATCTATTAATTATAATAATTTGAACTGTAATCAGAGCCCTAGTTAATAGTTTATGGACAGGGTAAATCAGAAATGGTCTTTCAATTATGTCTTGTGAACACATACATATACTAGTGACGTTACGAATGTCATATAATTAATAACTAAAAAAATTTCCACATTCCACCAACTCTTGTTGATAGTTAAATATCCAGAAATAAGACAAAGTCTAAACTAATCTTAATTTGATTTAGTCCAAAATTTTCCATTTTAAAATTTGATTAACTTTGGTTGGGGATTATCAGCACGGTAGTTGTTAAAGAATGGTTCATTATGTAATAAAAAATTAATTACGGTAAAGATAAAATGCAAACCACTTCAATGTTTTAACCTTATAAATAGCAAGCTCTACATGCAACATAATTCAATTCTCACAAGCAAATAATAACTTACATAATAACAAGGATCATTAAAGAGTAGTAGTTAGTTGCAAAATGAAGGTTATTTACTTCCTTGTTAGCATCTTGGCTTTGGCATCTTCGGTTTCCTTTGCTTATGATCCAAGCCCTCTTCAAGACTTTTGTGTTGCAATCAAAGATCCCAAAGATGGTGGTATGCATATATTCCTTAAAAATCTTACTATCTTATTTATTAGGGTTAAATATATAACATTTCTATAATATAAGCGAGTTTTAGTTTGTCTATTATAAAAAAAAAAAATTAAACTTTTTTAAAATATTAAAATTTTATGTTTTTTACCCTCTAAACGTCAAAAGTATCTCATGTAATATATATGTATTTTTTTGTTTACTCTCACAAATTCAATATTCAAATTGCACGATTAGAGAATATATATATATATATATATATATATATATATATATATATATATATATATATATATATATATATATATATATATATATATATATATATATATATATATATATATATATATATATATATATATATATATATATATATATATATATATATATATATATATATATATATATATATATATATATATATATATATATATATATATATATATATATATATATATATATATATATATATATATATATATATATATATATATATATATATATATATATATATATATATATATATATATATATATATATATATATATATATATATATATATATATATATATATATATATATATATATATATATATATATATATATATATATATATATTATAGGAGGTAAATTGAAACTCACCTATATTGTATATTTAACATTTTATTTTATTTAATTAGCTAGTGTTGATTTTTTTTAATATATTACAACTATACTTTGATAATTCACAGTATTTGTTAATGGAAAGTTGTGTAAAGATCCTATGCTAGTTAAAGCTGAAGATTTCTTTAAACATGTTGAACCTGGGAATACTTCAAATGCATTGGGCTCTCAAGTGACTGCAGTCACAGTAGACCAACTATTCGGATTAAACACACTCGGTATATCTTTGGCTCGCATTGATTTTGCACCCAAAGGTTTAAACCCACCCCACACTCACCCTCGAGGCACAGAAATCCTTATAGTTCTCGAAGGTACTCTTTATGTTGGATTTGTCACTTCCAATCAAGATAAGAACCGTCTTTTTACCAAAGTGCTCAACAAGGGTGATGTGTTTGTGTTTCCAATCGGTCTCATTCACTTTCAACAAAATGTGGGATACGGCAATGCAATTGCCATTGCTGGACTTAGCAGCCAAAATCCAGGAGTTATTACTATTGCAAATGCTTTGTTTAAATCAAATCCATCCATTTCTGATGAAGTTCTTACCAAAGCTTTTCAAGTGGATAAGAGTATAATTGATTATCTTCAAAAACAGTCTTGGTATGACAACAACTAATTTGAGAGCACGATTAGCCATTTCATTCTGAATGAATTATTGACTATAGATCTTCATTCACCTAGTCCAACCGTCCGTATTTACATACTTTTATAATTATTGTAATAAATAAAATACAGAGATATTTAATTTCTCATATACTTTATTTGAAATTTGTTTTAGTTTAATAAAATAGTTGCCTATCTGTTTACCATTGTTTTTGTTAAATTAAACCACAAAGTTTCATTTACTTACAACTTTAAAGTCCAAAATATTCTAGAATATATTGTACAAAAGATTTGAGAAAATATATTTGTACTTGAGTATTTGCGTTCAAATGTATAGAAAGTTGGGTATAAATCCCAATAACAAGAATACATGATTGTTCTAAGAACCTGAAATAAATAAAAAAGGAAGCAATAAATATAACATAAGCAAAAATATTTTGATTATAGAATTAGAAAAGCTACACAAATTCTTACATGTTTTTCTCATAAACTTTTCTCTCTCTGTGTGATTTGAATATTTGAGTTCTATAGGGAATAATGGTAAAATTTGTGAACCTTGATTACATGAATAAAATCTACTTATATACTACATTTTGATAATCATCGATAACAATTTTCTCACTAGCACTCGATACGTACACCATTATATGGCATTTTGTCCTCTACTTCACTTCCACATGTTGGTCTTTGAACTGTCTCTAAAACGCTTGTATTGTTAAAATTGTCTTTGTAACCTTTAACTACCCTTGTAGAGGATTTTCTCGGTCTAAAACTATAGTGATGTCAAAATGTCTCTAGATCACCTAATATTTGACCTCAAAACATATTAAGTCCCAAAACAACTGAAAAGCAAGTCGAACTCACCATTTTTACATCACACCTTCATGTTGAAATGTTAACCTATTGCGAACCTTTTTGAGATTCTGGACATGTTTTGAAGAGAGAGTAATCTTAATATTATAGATTTGTTCCTGAGACTCATTCAAATCATATTTAGTGGGTTTTAGTGCAGTGTTAAAACTCATAGGTTAACATATGCCTCCAAAAATTCAACTTTCTGATCATATTAGTAAGATGGAAGAAATGAAGTGTTTTAATAATGTCTCGGCACTATTCACGGTAGTCTGCATACGTCATCATCATCATGATCACTTTACCAAAACTTCACGTCAATGATGGTGTGTGCAATCATCAATCATGACTCCAATTTACTATGCCATTGTGGGTCATCAAATTAACTCATATTAAAAGAGAATCATATAAATTAATTTTATCATAAAAATAAAAATGCCACAATTTTTCCATAAAAATGCCACAAATTTACCGTAAAAATGCCACAATTTTTCCTCCACAGCTATATATGCACCTTCCTTTCTTCTTTTTCCCTTTCGCCACTTCTTATGCTTAGAATCCTAAATACTCCCATCTCTTAAAATCTTCACCTTCAACAATCTTTCCTTATTCAACCCAAACCTCATAACATTGGTTTCCTCCTCGAAACAACTCATAGTGCCTTCTATTACTAATATAAGACTCACCTTGACGGTGAAGCTAGCGGGATTATACCTGAACGCATCGCATGCTAAAAGATACAATAGAGTCGCCACCGAACTTTATTTAGTCCAAAAGGATAAGGAAAATATCAATAAAACCCAAGGGAAAGAGAAATGGGTAAGCGAGTCAGTTATGCGAAGCGAATGTATTAGCACCCCACGTATCCGTCGTACTCGACGGAAACCATTCTGAAATCTTCTAGGCTATGATATGTTATCTATCTAAAGGCTACTCGCTAAGGAGGAAGGAAAAGGGACGAAGAAAGTGCTCGTGGAGGATTAGGGCCCTCGTGTTTATGTATCCTCAAAGTGCAATGAGGAATTCAGAGCTCCGTAGTTCATGGAACCAGGGAAGAAAGGGAGAAGGTGGCTTACCAAGATTTCGCAATCTCGTGCCTTCGTATCCTCATATTGCGATGAGGAATTCAGAGCCTACGTAGTTCGGAGAACTAGGGCAGAAACAATAAAGAAATGGAATGGCGTAAAATAGAGGCAAAGAACAATGATGTAAGGGCCAAGGAGTAGGGGTAAGGGTGTTTTAACCGAAACACGATGGTTAACCCAAGAAAAAGGAAAGTTGGATTCTGCTATGGGACAAAGAAGTTACCCTACTAGGGAAGAAAGGAAATTAACCCTGGATGGGGGGAAGGAACTGGTCTTGTTGGAGATAGGAATGACTTGGTATATTAACTGGCAGTGAAAAACCAAGACAAAAGGTTGGCTCCACTGGAGAGAGGAAACGAATGCAATTGATCTTCTAACCAACGATTGATGATTAACCAAGGTAAATTGGTGGTTTAACCAAAAGAAGGTGTTTGACCCATAGGGGTTTCGGTGTGGTAACTGATAAACAATGTTTAACCAAAGAAAAGGTTGAAGTTGGTCTTTTAACCGACGAAAGGTGGTTAACCAACGAAAAGGGTGTTGAACCAAGGAAAGGTGTTAACCTAAAAAGAAACTCGGTATGTTAACAGACGGACTGTGGTTAACCGAGCGAAAAGAAAAGGTTGGTCTTTTAACTGACAGGAAATGATTAGCCAAGGAGACATAAGGTGTTTTAACCAATATGTGATTAACCCAACAAAGGCTTGGTATCTAACAGACAGATTGTGATTGACCAAAGAAAAAGGGGTTGTTGGTTGTTTACTGACAAACAGTGGTTAACCAACGAAAAGGAGATTAGAACCAAGAAAAGGTCGCTAACTCCAACGAGATTAAATGTTTTAACACACGAACTGTGATTAACCGAAAGAAGAAAACCAAATGAAGGGGCGATTGTGACTTCTCTGTGGGTAAGAAGAAATTTGGTGTCTAACCAAAGGACAGTGATTAACCAAAGGAAAATGGTAGAAATTGGTTTAACAGACGGACTGTGATTGACCAAAGGAACATATCTAATGCATCAATATGAAATTTCAAAGCATTAACAATAACAAGCTAGCATGCATTACTAAGCAAACTCATGTTAACATATAAGCAAAAAGTGTGCGAAAGGTGCTTTAAACATGTGATAAAATTGCAAAATAATCAAGGAAAATCATGCAATTAATCAAGCAAGAGTAATTGCAAGTAGGTACTGACCTAAAACAATGGCATTGATATGAATATAAGCAAGCATGGGAAGTTATACAAGAAAATATGCCAAAACAGTCCCAAACAACAAGGTTTTTTCAAAAGTTGTTAGGTGTAATTGATTAACATCCTGCTGTTAATCGATTAAACAGTGCCAAAAAGCAATTCTGAGGTGTGGGAAAAGGTGTAATCGATTAACCTACTGGTGTTAATCGATTACCACTGTAATAACAGCATAAACAGAATTTCGAAAAGCACTTTTCAGAATCACTTATCGCATGCGATCACATTGGATCATAACATAGAGGTAGATGCAAAATTCATGTTAATTCAGAGCAATTAAGCACTATAAGAGTCAAACATGAAAATCAATTATTCAAGTAGCAAAACAACAATTAAGCACTACATTGTGAAAACACAAAATCGATCGAAAGCGATAAATTAACGAAGATTCACCAACCTACAAGGTTGAGCTTTTTCTTGGTAATTGTTGTAAGCAAAATATGAAGAGGAGAAATTTAGAAAACAAAAAAATACCAAGATCTAAAGCAATCTGTGGCGAGAAAACCGAAGATAATGCGATATTTGCGTCAGATCCGAATTTGCACCACAAATCCTTCAATGATCAACTTCCAAAGCTTGAACTGAAGTAAATGATGACGTTGCTGTAGAATTCAGATGTGAAATGAAGAGAAATGGAGGTCTAGATCAAGAATAGCAATCTCATGGTTAACATTATTTAAAACAAGGTAGTGTAGAAAATGTAGTTGATATTTTCTGGTGTAATCACATATCTAGAACCTTCCACAAGATGCTAAAATGATGTAGACGAAATGAGAAGAGTAGGAGTTGTTGCAGTGCTATGAAACTGCTAAAAATCTACAAAAGTTGCAGGTGTAATCGATTACACAAAGTCAAATTTCACTTTTTTTGCATGAAATGATGTTCTTTGGTCGTGGTTTCTTGCTTTGATAAATAGGCATAGAAATCCTTTAATTTTGCTTGTATTGATGCTTTGGTGACTCTTCGAGGGATATGATCATAATTTCGAGATTCTATGGGGATTTGAATGTGTACTTGCAAGGAATCCACATATAAAAAGCTAATGCATATATGGAGAATGCAAGTGCAGATATGCAAAAAGGAAAAAAGGGAGGTCAAATTTGTGTTACGAAGGACAGTCACGCCTATGCCCCTAAACCATCCATAGAGAAAGAAAAATATATGATCCGAGCTTCCCAGGAACTAATCCATTTCTCTAGTTCAGGTAATGTTCACGCATTTTTGGGTTCATTCCTCATAACCTTTGCAAAAGCTAACAAGTTAAAGATGTTTTTCCCTTGCTATTGGTGCTGCAAACCCCATGTCTTTAAAGACACAATCTATGAGTTCACCCTGATGCGTCCGCAAGTGCACGAAAATATCGAAGTAATATAAAAGATTGTCGAACCCACAGAGACCAATGTCAATCTACCGTTATCTATTATTACGGCGTAAAGCTAAGGCTATTGGAATTAGGAAAATTGAATGCGAATGAAATTAAATGCAAAAGAAATAAAGAAAATTGGTTTAAAGAAATGCGGTAAAGGATATCGGTATGCAATGACTTAGTTATCTGGGATTTGACAGGTCACCGATGCTTCTTACTCTTTGCAAACATTGTTCAGAAGAAAATAGTGATCTGAAGACTCTCGTCTCACGATGGTTGTTGATGCTAATCATAATTCTAAGGGCCAAATGTATGCTTTCGTGTCCCATTCGGGTTAAAACTATTTTTTGGAAATCTCTAAGTTCTAATTCATTTTAAAGTGCTTTCGCTGTTATTAAAACAAATTACTAGTGTTTACTATCTGGTCTTACCGCAGCTTTCGCTTGTTGGTTCGTACCT